TATTTGGGGATTCAGAAAGGAAAAAACAAAAACAAAACTCCCATTCCATTTCTTTGTCATTTAATTGTCAATCTTCTTCTAGGACACCTGGACTGGATTATGCTAATTATCCCCAAGCTGCCTCTCCATGATCTCTGAAAGGGAAGGGAATGGGGCAAAGCCCCACAAAAACTGTTCCCAAATACAATTCATAACTCAGAAAAAAAGGGGCAACTTCTGAAATATTCATTTTGAGCCTGTACTGTATGTACTCCATATAGAAAGTAGATTGTGATTAAAAAAAAAAAAAAAACCTTAAAGGAAGTTTTTTTTTTCCTTTTTCTTTTTCTTTTCTTTTTTTTTTTTTTTTTTTTTTGGTGAGGCAATTGGGGTTAAGTGACTTGCCCCAAGTCACACAGCTAGGAAGTATTATGTGTCTGAGGCTGGATTTGAATTCAGGTCCTCCTGACTCCAACTTTACTGCGCCACCTAGCTGCCCCTAAAGGAAGCTTTTTATAAACATAAGGACATACATACATTAGGACATGTACCTAAGATAGTTCAAAAGACCTTTTTTTTTAGGGGGGGGCACCTAGCTTCACTTGTGCTGTGTCGCCTCTGGTCCTGACACAACCTCCACTTTTCACCGGCATGCCCTTCTTTCCATTTTCTGAAAACATCTATTCCTCACACTTGTACTATAGGGACTTTACCTTGTCAATCACTGATAGCTCTCTGCTTATGATATCAGAAGGGAGAAAACTTTTGGGGATTCTTTCAAAAAGTGATCAGTGTTCCAACCATTCTAGAGAGCAATTTGGAACTATGCCCAAAGGGACATAAAACTGTGCATACCTTTTGATCCAGCAATACCGCTGTTAGGTCTATATCAGAAGACATCAAAAAAAAAAAAAGGAAAAAAAGAAAAAGGGAAAAGGACTTATTTATATAAAAATGTTTTTAGCAGCTCTTTTTGTGGTAGCTAAGAATTGGACATTTCAGGGATGCCCATCAATTGGGGAGTGGCTAAATAAACTGTGGTATATGATTGTGATGGAATATTATGCTATGATAAATGACAAGCAGGATGATTTCAGAAAAAAAGCTGCAAAGACTTACATGAACTGATGTAAAGTGAAGTGAGTAGAACTAAGAGAATGTTGTACACAATAGCAGCAATATTGTACAATGAAGAACTTGGCTAATACAATTTATAACTTGGCTAGTCTCAGCAATCCAACAACTCAAGACAACTTCAAAGGTCTAATGATGAAGCATCTATCCCCCTCCAGAGAAAGAACTGGTTTGTCTGAATACAGGCTGAAGCATGCTGTTTTTCACTTTCTCTTTTCATTTTTTTTATTTGAGCCTCCTTGTGCAAAATGACTAATTTGGAAATATTTTACATGATTGCACATGTATAACCTATATCAGATTGTTTACTGTCTCGGGGCATGGGGAAGGGAGGGGAAGAGGAATAGAATTTGAAACTCAAAACTTTTTTTAATGTTAAAAAATTATTTTAACATGTAATTGGGGAAAATTTTTTAAGTGATCAGTGGGGTTTTTTCTGTCCTTATTTAGTCCTCTGTTTCTAAGAGGTATTGACAGTTTTCATTTATGATTTTTTGAAATAGGCTTTTTATTTAAAATATCATGTTTTTTTTTCAAGGAGGCTGATATTCTTAAATTTATCTTACCTTACCCTGTTCAGAGATAGAAAACCAAGCTGCCCCAATGCAGTGGTGTTAGAAAGCTACCCTAATCTAGAGACACCTGAGAGCTCCCCTGATACAAGGGAAGCCCCAGTACCTCACACATTGAGGAGTAACAGAGAGCTGGTGATGCTCAATATACCTAGTCTAGGAACAGCCCCTCCCCAGGACTATTGTGGATGCCCCCTAGCCTGGTTACCTCCATCATTTATCCTTACCTTGCTGTCCCAGCCTCTCCCCTACCCCAACTCTGTGCTTCCACTCCCAGGTATCTGAAGTTGGGCTGTCAGTCTTTCCTTCTATGAGGTAAAAACATGTCATAATAAATCATTACTCTTTATATTACTTGTGTGTCTGATTCTTTTGTGAAACTTGTTTGAAATTCCAAAACCACTAAAGTAGACTAGGACAGCACCTCTTTTATGAAGCCTGTCCCCAGAGAAAAGGCCAAGTTTTAGTTAGTATCACTAAAAGACAAAACCAACAACTACAGATCAAGGACTGTCTGGGGCAGGACAGGGAAGGTGGCTATGGCACACCTTCTCCATGTAACCACAATACCATTTGGGGAACCTGATACCTGGGTTTTTCCAGGGCCTTCGTCGACATCCAATGTGACTACATCTTCTTAGAAAAGCAGTTCTCCTCCAAGATTCTTCCTGGAGAAATAGAGAAATTAGCTTAAGATGGCAGCAAAAAGAATCAAGCCAGATGTAAGGAAGAACTTCCTGGACGTACAGGTAAAGATAGTGTGGAGCTAAAGAAAATCTCATCTGCTTAAGTTTAGTGAGACTAAGTTTGTTGTCTTGACATAAGTGACTCTAATTTGCATTAGGTCATCATTTTGTGAAGTATTTTGATGTTGGTTTTTCATAACTTGTCTTTCAGTATTAAGACAAGAATATGTGATATAGGTTGGTAAACAACATATGCTGTTCAAAAACAACTGATAAATATTTGGGACCCCTAGATTAGACAGACCACCAATGGGAAAATTAGGTTTAAAAAAAACCCTCAACCTTGTCATTAGTTTATGTAATCTGGCACCGATCATATTAATTGGTAAACAAATTAAGTCACTAACCACCAGTCAGAATTTGGGTGTAACCAGCTAACACTCATAGCTAAAACCATAAGAAACCACCAGGGATCCCCAGCCTTCAGCTTGATCTTGTTGTTATTCAGCTATTTCAGTCATGTCCAGCTCTTTGTGACCCCATTTGGGGTTTTCTTGGCAAAGGTACTGGAATGGCTTGCCATTTCTTTCTCCAGCTCATTTTACAGATGAGGAAAGTGAGACAAATAGTGACTTGCCCAGGATCACACAGCTAGTAAGTGTCTGAGGGCAGATTTGAACTCAGGAAGATGAGTCTTCCTGACTTCAGGCACTGTGCCACCTAGCTGTCCCCAGTCTGACCTTACGTCACAACCAAGTCTGGCTCCCTTGTTTCCCACACTCGAAACTCTAGCACCCTCACAGCTCACTGAGGGCAGTGCTAATTGACTAACTGAGATTTACTGACTTACCAGCCAACCACCTCAGAGGCAAACAAGTGGCCTTTAGCTGGGCAGAGAGGTGACTTTTTCATTGGGTATCAGTGTGAGACAGGCTTACCAGGAAGCCGTAAGAAATCAGATTGTCAGTTTGTTCCTAGTGGGGTTAATGTTTGTATTGTCTAAGAGATAATATGAACTAATATTTGTACACATTTGATTAATAAAATTGGATGGCTGCCATTGAGAAGTATAACTCTAATTAGTGTTTCCATTGCACTAGTTAGCGTAAGTAATGGTATATTGGTTTTGCTCACATGCTGGACCTTATACTAGGCCAGGTTGGGTTGTTGTTCATTCTTCATTCTGGAAGAGGACCCTTGACATCACTTGGGTGATGTCTTGACTTGCAAGTGAGTTGAGGCTGAGCTGTACAAAGTCATCAGCCTCGCTCTCTCCTCCAGAGTCATGAGAGTCCAGTGGCAAGACAAAGGCCAAGATGACTGAGGCTAGTCCAGGATGTAGTGGGAGGTCAGGACTGGGGGATCAGAGAACCAGAGAAATGTTGAATTGGAAAGCACCGCAAAGATCGTTTATCTAACCTGAATTGAAACAGGAATCCTTTCCTACAATCCAATAAAGTAATGATAATAATAATAATAATAAATACCTTACATTTATACACTGTCTTAAAGATTGCAAAGTACTTTACTTACGGATTGAGCCACATAATAATTCTGTGAGGTCACCACCACTTACCCCCATTTCATAGATTAGAAAATTTAGGTTCAGAGAGCTAGGTAAGTGGTCATCTAAGTTCGTGACAAATGGTCAAATAGCGACCATTTGAAGAACGCCAGTGACAGCGAACCCACTGCCTTGTCATAGGATCAAAGAATTTAGAGCTTCAAGTGACCCCAGGATTATCCGAGGCAACCTCCCCCAATCAATTCTAGAGATGAGAGTGAACTAAATACCCTCTAGAGGTCCCTTCCAGCCTGAAGAATCTGTGTGAGTGGTCACCGAATTCTTTCCTGCTCTGCTCCACAGACAGTAATTACCGAGGGCTTCGTTCCAGGAAGCACTGAGTTAACCAGTTCTTAATCTAATCCGAGCAGCACTTTAAACGGCTTCTTTCTCCCAAGGACCCAAACCAGCTCACCCATCTGGTCTCTTTAAACCTCCCACCCTTGTGGTAACAATTTGTAAGAACTTGCCCAACGTCTCACAAGTCTGGCTGGCATGTGTCTCTTACGGCTGGAAGTTGGGGGGTGAAAGGGAGAGGGGAGAGCCTAATAGAGGGAGGGAACCAAGAATCTGCGATTAGAGCTAGGTTTCCTAAATTCCTACCCATTATTCTCACTCACTTCACCCATCCTTTGGGATGCCTGATCTTCTTTCATTGGGTTCACCTGGCTAGTCATCTAACAGCATCTCATAGTCACATGCACACAGGATTTCCTCCTCCTCCCAAAAAAAGGACACGTTTCCAAATTCTTGGGTAGGTTCTAACTGCAGAGGCAAAGTAAGTCTTTGGATCTTTTCTGTGGAAACTCAAGTTTCTGTGGAAACTCAAGAAGCCATTCTCCCCACCCCCAGCGCCCATGGGATAACTTTTTCCCTAACCCTTTCTCCCACCAGACACATAACACGCACAGGGCTCCCACTTGCCCCATGTTGCAGGTTCACTTCCTCAAACCCCCAGACTCCCTTTTGAATGAAATTATTCTCCAGGGACCGAATAGCAGCAACCAAGAACATTGGCTCTCCCCCTCCGCCCACGATGTTGATGTCATCGGACTCAGCCTCTTTTGCAATTTTCCCCATGTCTGTGCACGAGAGGAATTGGGGAAAAACTCCGTTGGGGGAGGTGTCCTGTCTTATTTTATCTTCCTGCTTCTTTCCTTCCAAATCTCTTTCCCTCCTCTGGTATCCCTGAAGGACTAGGCATGGCCCCTTGACTTCCCGGAGCCTCACAGCCCCCTCCCTGGGCAGCGTGACTGCCCTGATCCGAGTTCCTGGACAGCCACCGCCTGCTTGTGAGTAACATGTTGGTTTTATGTCCGCGTGTCAGTCTGTCGGTCAGTCTGTCCGTCTGTCTGTTTGTCTGACTTGGTCTATCCCAGCTTCCCGAAGGGGAACTAGAGTGAACCTGGGTGCTCAGGGGTTTGGATCCAACCACAAAGGCGTTGGCAAAAATACCCTCCCTAAAGAAACAATGCCTGGTCCCTGCGAGAGTTGCCAGGGCAGATGTTTCAGAAACAGCTTTGGCACTGCTGGGCTCTCCCCTCCCCACCCCCAACTCCTTCCTTTTCAGGGAGAGCACGGGGCTAAGCTTGAGCTGAGCTGAACAGGGCTGTGGTTCCTAAGCAGGAAGCAACAGCCTGATCCCTCCTGAAGTTGTCAGGGTTGTGCTTTGACCTAACTGCTGAGTCAGGAATCTGGGCATCTAACAGAGCAAGGCTTACAGGGAGACTGACCAGAAGCACTGAGGCCCCCTGCTCTTCTTTTTACACTTTTTATTCACTCACCCCTGGGACACACACAATAGAAAGGGCCCTACAGTTGTGGGGAGCTGCACACCTACTGCCCCACACCCTCTGCTGTCATCCACCCTGCTAGCCACCAAAAAGCCCCCTTTCCCAGGTGCTGTCACAGGTCCTAAAATTCCACAGTTAGAGATTCATTCCTTTGGCTTAATCAGTTATTGTTGGACTCAGTGGCATCCACATTCCCTCCCAACTCTATTATTCTATGATTCATTGTGCAATGGGAAAGGTGCTAGATTAGAAGTCAAAGGACCTGGCCTCGCATTCAGCACCATCACTTTTTAGCTGTGAGATCCCTAGGAAGTCACCTTCCCTCTCTGGGTCCCACTTTTCTCATTTTAGAGAAAATAAAAATTAGCTAGAAATCATGTACTGTTTTCATGGGATCATAGATTTAAAACTTGGGATTGACCCCAGGGGCCATCTAATCCAAATCCCTCATTTTACATATGTGGAAACTGAGGCCAAGGATTTGCCCAGGTCACACAGTAGGATTTTTACAGAGGTCATCTAACTCCTGAGCTAATGCTTTATTCTTTACACTATGTTTCTTCCCTTTTAAGGTATTCAGTATGATTTACATAAGTTATTTCAGTTGATCTTGGCAACAGGACTGTGAGTTGATTACTATAGGGTATTAGGACTGGAGGGATTTTTTTGGCCCAGATATGTGTTTTTATGGGTGTAAGGCATTCTTTACTGGTTTGTTGGCTATGAATTACAATTTTAGAGAGTTACCTAGGGCAATGAAAGATTCAGCAACTTTCCCAGGTTAACTAGCGATTATTGTCAGAGGTAGCCCCTCAATCCACTGTGGCATGGGGACCCTTAAGGGGTCTGGACCAGATCACTTGTAAAGTCCCTTCCAGTTCTAACTAATACTTATACTCTTAAGCAGGGGTGGGGAACCTGTGGCCCTCTAGGTCCTCAGGTGTGGCCCTCTGACTGAATCCAAACTTCACCAGAGTCATTATCATTATTCACAATATCATTATCCTCACTTTATAGATGAAGAAATAGACTGAGAGATGAAATGATAAATCTGATAATCTAAGTGAAATCGATGAATATTTACAAAAATATAAATTGCCCATATTAGTGGAAGAGGAAATAGAATACTTAAATAACCCCATTTTAGAAAAAAGAGATTGAGTGACGCTATGCATGGTCATACAACTGGTAAGGGTGAGAGGCAGGATTCAAACTCAGGTCTCTCCTACCCCCCAGTCCAGTTCTCTTTGCACTCTCCCACCATACTGCCTTTCAAGGAGGGTAAACCAGGTGGCCTGTGAAGTCCTTTCCAGCTCTAACATTCTAGAACTCCAGGACTAAAACTATAACCCATGGTCCCTGCCCACAAGGAACTTACACTCTAAGTGAGGAGACAAAATTAAAATGTAGGAAGCAGAGAACATTAAGTGCTAATCCACTAAGTATTGTCTGACCCTCACTGCAAATGGAGGAAGGAAAAGGGAGAGATTGGGTGTTTTGACTAATTTTTAATCTTCAAAATAATCATTGTTATCCATGAATTTCACTGATTTCTTAAAAATAATGGTAGGTACCACCTATTTTAGTTTCTTTTCAGACCTGAGAGCTCCAAAATATCATAGTGTCCAATTTCAGGCAACTCCTGGTGAAGAGAAAACAGCTCAGGGCTGAGGGTGAGAGAGTGTGTTCCTATCCTAAGAAGGGTTAATCCAGGTAAATGATTCCCATCGGAGGAGAAGGCAGGGCAAAAGAGGACCGACCCAATGACTGCCGTGTCTGTGTTCTGACTTCCCCAAGGCACGGTGGGCTTCCCTTCCTGACCACGCTTCCCCTTCTAAACTAGCACCTTTCCCACCTTTCCCTTCTATAATAATACATATTATGTATTATTATTACATATTTTTGTAAATATTCATTGATTTCACTTCCCACTCCTGCTCTCTGCTGGGAGGGAACCCTCTGGCTCTTGACAGAGTCATCAGTTTACCTCTGACGGCTTGGGCTAGAAGGGAAGGTGCAAGAGAAGAGGTTATTGGAAGAGGGCCCTCAGTGGGTTCCAGCTCTGGCAGGACTTTCTGCAGAGTGAGCCACCCAGTGTCCTTCATTAGGGTAAGACTCTTTGTGTCTGAGTCAGCCCTGCTAATGCTCAGGCATGTGGAATGGATAAGGCTTTACAAGGTCACCACTGACTCCCAGCAAGGAGCTAAGCAAAGAAATGAGCAACAGCTGCTTCTCTCATAAGAAAGGGCTGCATTTGGAGTCAGGAGATGTGGGTTAAAATCCTGGCTCCAACACTTTAGCGGCCTAGCCTCTAGTCTGCTTCCTGATAGAATCTGGTGTTGAAAGGGACCTTAGATGTCACCCAATCCAAGTTCCATCCTCCTCTTTATAAATGAGTAAACCCAAACCCTGAGGAATTAAGTGATGTGCTCAATGTCACATATGTTGTAGTAGAATTTAATTTTACTACGATATAGTTTAATTCTTTGGTAGCAGAATTTAAAGGGGCAACTAGGTGGTGCAGTGGATAAAGTGCTGGGCCTAGAATCAGAAAGACTCATCTTCCTGACTTCAAATCTGGCCTCAGACACTTACTAGCTCTGTGACTCTGGTCGAGTCACTTAACTCTGTTTACCTCAATTTCTTCATCTGTAAAATGAGCTAGAGAAGGAAATGACAAACCACTCCAGTATCTTTGCCAAGAAAACCCCAAATGGGGTCACAAAAAGTCAGACTAGATGAAACAACAACAAAGCAGAATTTAAACCCAAATCCTTTAATGAAAAATCCAACGCTTATTCATTCAACAAACATTTATTAATTTGCATGTGATATGTAGACTGCTGTACTTGTCTCTTTAGATAAGAAATGAACACATAAATATACTGCATAACACTGCCCTAAGTGAAGCCTTTTCTGACCAGCCTTCCCACCATCTCCCAGATGTTGGTGCCTGTCAGTCAATAAGCATTTACGAAGTGCCTGCTAGGTACCTGGCGGTATGCTAAGTGGGGATACAAAGAAAGGCAAAGAGACAGTTGCTGCCCTTGAGAAACTCAAAGTCTGATGAAGAAGATGACATATAAACAACTATATACAAATAAGTGACATACAGGCTATGTTGGAAATAATCAAGGCTCTAGAATTAAGGGGGGTGGGAAAGGCTTCCTGTAGCAGGTGAGGTTTTAGCTGGGGCTGGAAGGAAGCCAGGAAAGTCAGGAGGCAGAGATGAGGAAGGCAAGCATTTCAGGCATGGGAGCTAAAGATGCCCAGAGTCAGGAGACTGATAAAGTGTTTTGTTTGAGGAACAAGAGAACAGTGTCACTGAATTGAAGAGTGTGTGAGGGGTAAAAAGATTTTTTTTCACTTCATAGTATTTTATTTTTTCCAATTACATGTAAAGATAGTTTTCAACATTCACTTTTATAAGATTTTGAATTCCAAATTTTTTTCCCTCCCTCCCCTCTCCCCAAGGCAATAAGCAATCTGATACAGATTATACATGTGCAATCATATTAAACATATTTCCACATTAGTCATGCCATGAAAAGAAAATCAGAACAAAGGGGAAAAACCACGAGAAAGAAAAAAACAGAAAACAAAAAAATATGAAAACAGTATGCTTTGATCTGTATTCAGACTCCATAGTTCTTTCTCTGGATGTGATTAGCATTTTCCATCATGAGTCGTTTGGAATTGTCTTGGATCATTGTATTGCTGAGAAGAGCTAAGTCTATCAAAACTGATCATCACTTATTATTGCTGTTACTGTGTACAATGTTCTCCTGGTTCTGCTCGGCATCAGTTCTTATAAGTCTTTCCAGGTTTTTCTGAAGTCTGCCTGCTCATCATTTCTTGTAGCGCAATAGTATTTCATTACATTCATATAATACAACTTGTTCAGCCATTCCCCAATTGATGGGCATCCTCTCAATTTCCAATTTTTTGCCACCACAAAAAGAGCTGCTATAAATATTTTTGTATATGTGAGTCTATTTCCCTTTTTTATGATCTCTATGGGATACAGACCTAGTAGTGTTATCACTGAATCTCTCTCTCTCTCTCTCTTTCTCTCTCCCTCCCCTTTCCCATATGTATGTTTATATGTATGTGTATATATGTGTAAATATATACATACACACAAAATACTTCCTAAATAACTTTGGGTGGGAAAGGGGAAAATGAGCTATTATTGTCCTTCTTCATAATAATGCTGGTGTGTGAGTTGCCTGATTTGGGGCAGCAGTTTAGAATCACCTATCAGTCAATCAACAAACATTTATTAAGCACCTACTGTGTGCCAGGCACTGTGTTAAGCACTAGGGATACAAAAAGAGGCAAAAGATAGTCCCTGCCCTCAAGAGGCTTACAACAATCTAATGGGGGAAGCAGCACGCAAACAAATATAAACAAAGTGAGCTATATACAGGATAAATAAGAAACACGTAATTAAAAGAGAGAAGGCATTGAAATTAACAGGGGTTGGGGAAGGCTCTTGT